TGTTTGTGTTATCACCACACACACACACACACACACACACACACACACACACACACACACGGAGAGAGAGGGAAAGTGAGAAAGCAAGCCACCAGGTCCGTGGTCAGCCATGTGGGAATGTCCAGCACCTTCGCCACCACACCACCTGCAGGTCCCCCCCATGTTCAATTCTTTATGAAGCGGCCTGTCTCCATTTGTAAAGGTTCCAGTTGTTAGAAAGTTCTCTATAGTGTCTGCCCTGATTCTGACCTTCAGAATGACCTAGGACACATTCTGACATTTGATCTCAATTCCCCTCATTTTTTTTTTTAGGTTTTTGTTATCTACAGGGCACGTGCATTCGCCAGACAGGCAGAGAGAGACAGAGAGACAGAAAGCGAGAAATCACCCTCCAGGGGGGATGGCCACGCCGCAATCCCTTCTCCTCCATTCTCCTCTCGGGATCTTGGGCACGCACGCATAGGCGCCTGGCATGAGTTTTAAGCCACCGGGTCCGGGACTCGAACCGCGGTTGACTACATGGGAGTCCAGCGACATAGCCATTTCGCTGACTGCTGGTCCCCTCAATTCCCCTCATTCTAACCCCCTGCTTCCCCTAGGGAGCTAAATGGCCCTGGTCCCTTCACTGTCCTGACTCCTTCCCTCTGGGCAAATGAGGTTGGGTGGGGGCCCTGGTCAAGAGTGCTGTCCTTCTGGAGGCTACTACAGTGGAGGCCACATTGGTTCCCCAGGTAACCTCATTACTCTCCTTTCTTTACAAGTTTGCAGTCACCTGATGCCTTAGGGGTGTTTTCACTTGAATTAGTTAACCCTGAAGGCACTTTTGAATTTCTGAGCCCAAATGCAATTTTTCAGTTGTTCCCTGATATATTTTCTCCAGTTATTTTTCAATACAGGATTCAGGTAGATTTAATTGCCAAAATATTTTTCCTATTGAGCCAAAATTAATCTTCCTGTCACTTCTAATTGTAAATCTAGTGAGCAGCCCTCCCTCCAGCCTCCAGTCCATCACTTTCTCTCTGTAGATTTTCTCAAGATAAGTACATTCCT